ATCTTTAATTTCCTGGTTGACCCATTCATTCCTTAGTAGGATGCTCTTTAGCCTCCATGTATTTGAGTTCTTTCCAACTTTCCTCTTGTGATTGAGTTCTAGTTCAAAGCATTGTGGTCTGAAAATATGCAGGGAATGATCCCAATCTTTTGGTACCGGTTGAGACGTGATTTGTGACCTAGGATGTCATCAATTCTGGAGAATGTTCCATGGGCACTAGAGAAGAATGTGTATTCCGTTGCTTTGGGATGGAATGTTCTGAATATGTCTGTGAAGTCCATTTGGTCCAGTGTGTCATTTAAAGTCTTTATTTCCTTGTTGATCTTTTGCTTAGATGATCTGTCCATTTCAGTGAGGGGGGGTGTTAACGTCCCCCACTATTATTGTATTGTTGTCAATGTGTTTCTTCACTTTTGTTATTAATTGCCTTTTATAAATGGCTGCTCCCATGTTCGGGGCATAGATACTTACAATTGTTAGATCTTCTTGTTGGATAGACCCTTTAAGTAGGATATAGTGTCCTTCTTCATCTCTTATTACAGTCTTTGTTTTAAAATCTAATTTTTGTGATATAAAGATTGCAACCCCAGCTTTCTTTCGGTGTCCATTAGCATGGTAAATGGTTTTCCACCCCCTCACTTTCAATCTGGGGCTGTCTTTGGGTCTAAAATGAGTCTCTTGCAGACAGCATATCGATGGATCTTGTGTTTTAATCCAATCTGATAGCCTGTGTCTTTTGATTGGGGTATTTAGCCCATTTACATTCAGGGTAACTATTGAAAGGTATGAATTTAGTGCCATTGTATTGCCTGTAAGGTGACTGTTACTGTATATTGTCTCTGTTCCTTTCTGATCTGTGTTGCTTTTAGTCTCTCTCTTTGCTTAGAGGACCCCTTTCAATATTTCTTGGAGGGCTGGTTTTGTGTTTGCAAATTCCTTTAGTTTTTGTTTGTCCTGGAAGCTTTTTATCTCTCCTTCAATTTTCAATGAGAGCCTAGCTGGGTATAGTATTCTTGGCTGCATATTTTTCTTGTTTAGTGCTCTGAAGACATCATGCCAGTCCTTTCTGGCCTGCCAGGTCTCTGTGGATAGGTCTGTTGCCAATCTAATATTGCTACCATTGTAGATTACATATCTCTTCTCCTGAGCTGCCTTCAGCATTTTCTCTTTGTCTCTGAGACTCGTAATTTTTAGTATTAGATGTCGGGGTGTTGACCTATTTTTATTGATTATGAGAGGGGTTCTCTGTGCCTCCTGGATTTTGATGCCTGTTTCCTTCCTCACATTAGGGAAGTTCTCTGCTATTATTTGCTCCAATATACCTTCTGCCCCTCTCTCTCTTTCTTCTTCTTCTGGGATCTCAATTATTCTAATGTTGTTTCATCTTATCGTATCGCTTATCTCTCGAATTCTGCCCTCGTGATCCTGTACTTGTTTTTCTTTTTCTCAGCTTCTTTATTTTCCATCATTTGGTCTTCTATATTGCTGATTCTCTCTTCTGCCTCATTTATCCTAGCAGTTAGTGCCCCCATTTTTTATTGCACCTCATTAATAGCCTTTTTGATTTTGACTTTGTTAGATTTTAGTTCTTTTATTTCTCCAGAAAGGTTTCTCTAATAACTTCCACGCTTTTTTGAAGCCCAGCTAGTATCTTTAAAGTCATGATTCTGAACTCTAGGTCCGACATCATCTAATGTCCGAATTGAGTAGGTCCTGGGTGACGGTACTATCTCTTGTTCTTTTTGCTGAGGTGATTTTTTTCATCTTGTCATTTCGTCCAGAGGAGAATAGATGAATGGGAAAACAAAATGCTAACAGGTTAACAACGTCTCCAGCAAATATACTCTATACAAATCAGAAAAGACCTGAAACCTGGGGAGAAGAAAGGGAAAGAAAGAAAAAAGAAAGAGAAAAGAAAGAAAAAAAAAGAAAAAGATTAAAAACAAAAACAGAACAATACAAAAAACCCGAATATGATCAAATATGATCAGGCTAGTGCATAGATCAGTGCCACAGACTAATATTTGGGCGTATTTTGGTCTGTTAGAAAAAAGTGCCTCCTAAAATTTTAAAGGAAGAAAGACTTATATATGTACAAAATAAGGGTTGATACAATGAATGGATGGAAGATGAGTGTAAAGATGAAAATTATAAAAGATTTTTAAAAGGAATTGATACGATAGGAAGTTGTTTGAAAAAAGAAAGAAGATTTAAAAAAAAAAGGGAGAGAATGTGATCAGGCAGGAGACTAGAACAAAGCCATACACAAGTGATTTAGGGTATATTTTGATCTGTTAGAAGAAACTGTATCTCAAAATTTTAAAGAGAGAACAACTTATATATATATGCCAAAAATAAGGGTAACTACTATGAAGGGATAAAATATGACTCTAAAAATGAAAAATAAAAGATGTTTTTTTTAAAAAAAGAGATTGATAAGATATTGGTTGAAAAAGGGAAAAAGAAAAATTAAAAAAACCGTTAAAAAAATTAACTTTGAAAAACTAATGAATCATGGTAAAAAAAGCCATGAATTCTATGTGCAGTATTCCCCTAGCGCTGGAGTTCTCCCATTCTCCTTGATTGCTAAACTTGGTCTTGGCTTGCTGGCTGTTCGTGCTGATCTTCTGGGGCGGGGTCTGTTGCCGTGGTTCCCAAATGTCTTTGCCGGAGGCGGAATTGCCCTGCCCTTGTTGGTCCCAGCTAAGCAAGCTGCTCAGGTTTGCTCTCAGGAGCTTTTGTTCCCTGCAAGCTTTGCCTACGGCTTTGGAGGGCAACAGTGAAAATGGCGGCCTCCCAATCTCCACCCCAGAGGAGGCAAGAACTCGGGGCTCCGCTCCTCAGTGCGCCCCCAGAGAAAAGCAGCCAGTCACTCTCGTGTCCCCAGTCTCTGGTCGCACTCCGTGCTCACCCGGCCTGTGACCGAGCGTTTCTATCTCTGGCACCCAACCCGTGTGGAGTCTCCAAACCCAGCAGATCCCCGCGGTGCACTCTCGCGCCGCTCCTCCCGGGGGAGGAAGGGGAGTCTCCCTGGATCTGCCGCTTGTTAGGTCCCTGCTGGAGGAGCAGTGTCCCGACTAGGCCGCAGATCACAGTTTATGGCCACCCTGAGCTGAGAGCCCCTGCCTTGGCTCCGTCTCTGCAGCCGGCTTTCCCGCTCCGATACCTGGGAGCTCTGCCGCACTCAGGCACCCCCGGTCCTTGTGTGACCCCGAGGGTCCTGAGACCACACTGTCCCGCGAGGGTTCCACCTCCCGCTTAGCCACTGGAGCGACATCCCTCAGCGGAGCCGACTTCTAAAAGTTCCAATTTTGTGCTCCGCGGCTCTATCACTTGCCAGAAGCGGCTGACGGAGGCCCCCTCCCCCGCCATCTATCCTCCCGAAGATTGCCTCGGATTCACTTCTCCGCACATCCTCCCTTCCAGTAAGTGGTCGCTTCTCTGTTCAGAGAGTTGTTGCTACTCTCCTCTTCGATCTCCTGTTGAGTTCATAGGTGTTCAGAATGGTTTGATCCCTATTCAGCTGAATTCCTGAGACCAGACGAAATCCAGGTCTCCTACTCCTCTGTCATCTTGCTCCGCCCCTCCCTTAATTATTTATCTTATCATGCTTTATACATTCCTTAGAAAATTTCCTCCACACACAGTTTCAGTTGTCACCACCTATATATCAAGAACTCAAGTTTATGTCTTCAGCTAATTCCTATACTTTGAGCTCCAGACTTGTATATCCAGCTGGTGCTTTGACATTCCCTCTCTGTTATCTGAAGGGCCTCTCACAAGGGACTGGTCCAATAACAGAGCTCCCCCTCCCCAGGAAATGTAGTCTTCTAAGTGTCACCTCATTGGGTGATTAACATCTTAATTTATCCACTTTCTTAACAGAAACAGAAAACTGAGCTTAGTGACATGTCTGTACCTCACACCTAATCCACTCCAGACCTTGGACCTGTCAATTTCACCACCCAAGTCTTTCTCACACTCATCTGTGTCTTTCCATTCTTTCCATCTCCTTTACCAGTGCCACAGACTGAGCAACCATCTCTCTCACCGTCATCTCTATAATAGCCCCTAATTTGTATACAAACATCTGCTCCCTTCTAACTCTTTCTAAACATGGTAGGTGAAATCGTCTTTACAAATAACAGTTCAGATTGTGGTCACTGCCTCTGTTTCAACATGCCAAAGTCTTCCCACTGCATTTACATTAGAGGCTGTGTCATTCCATGATCACAAGGCTCTGCATGGTCTGGCTCCCTCTCCCTGTTAGGCTTCATCTCATACCAGGCATCACCTCACTTTCTTGGCTGGTCTTCTCATTTGCCATAATCCCTTCTGGCCTCAGGACCATTTCATCTCTATTTCTTTTGCCTGGAATGCTCTTTCTTCTCCATTTTGCCTTGTTATCTCTTATGCATTCTACATATTTTAACCCAAGAATCCCTTCCTGATATTGATAAGCAACTTTGCTGATCTCCTTGACCAGGACAGATTCTTGTAGATGCTCCCAGTGCTTTGTACTTGGTGGTACTTGTCATGGTTGTTATATTACATATGTTTGTCTGTGGTTTTTTTCTCCTTTTTTATAATTTAATTAGGCCACATACCAGGACTGCTGTTCCATACCATCATGCCTGGAACTGTGCCAACAAACAGGTTTTTTGTAAATATCTGTTGAAAGATGGAAGAAAGGGGGCATAGTGTCAAAAATAATTAGGGAAGGTAAAGTTGGGAGACTTGTACAGAACCGTCGAAATGTAATGCAGGGATTCCTTGCCTTTGTTTGTAGGAGAACAGACATTGTGGAGGTAGAATTCAAAGAGCTGGGTTTTTCAAATCAAGATGTACTTTCCCATCACTAATACTTTATTTTCAAATGGCTAATTTTAGCTAAAAAGGATTGGTGGGGGTGTAGGGCCGGGTGGGGTGACTTCATCAAGTTGAATTCTGGACTTATCCTGAAAATGGAAGTTTCCTTCATGCTTTCTTTTCCCATATAGAATGGCAAAATTATTGCAAAGATAAATGGTGCAAATGCACCACTTGTTAATCAAAAAATTATTAACTTGGTCAATGAGGAGAAGAAAATTGCAGCAGGTGAACTGGTTCGCCCTCAGGTAATACTTTACTATTTTATTCTTAAAAAAATGTATTACATCTTTTTTGTTGTTTTACTAAGGAATTATTCCCAAGTTTTGTAACCATCTAGGTTTCTAAATGGTACAGACTTTCTGGGAGTTATTTTTTCAATATGAATCAAAGGCCGTAAAAAACATATGTATCATTTGAGCAATTACACTCCAATAATTTTCCCTACAAAGATAATAAGACAAATATAGAAAAGAGCATTTATAGCATTTATTAAAAATTTGGAATCACTCTAAATGTCGAGCCACCCCAGTGCCTGGGTAGCTCAGTCGGTTAAGCATCTGCCTTCAGGTCAGATCATGATCTTAGGGTTTTTGGAATCAAGCCCCACATGGGGTTCCCTGCTTAGCAGGGAGGCTGCTTCTCCCTCTCCCTGTGTCCCTCCCCCCTGCTTATGCACTCGCTCTCTCTCTCAAATAAATATTTAAAATCTTTAAATGTCGACCAATGCTGAATAGGTTCATAATCACAATAACCGTAATTTTTGTCATAAATTATACAAATCCATACAGTGGAATATTATTTAATGTGTTCTGGCTCTATACTTACTGATATGGAAAGAGGACCAAGATAGACTGACAAATGAAAACAAGACAGCACTTTGGTAGGATACTTAGAACAGGATCCAGCATGTGAAGAGTATCATCTATGTAATGAAAGATACACTATTTAAAAATTAAGAAATTACAAAGCATGTGGAGGTATGAACATAATAGTATAAGAAAGGAAGCCACAGAAGAAAGTGATTAGAAATACAGGCATATAGCGCTGTATTCCACAACCTAGGACGCTACAGTTTATAGCAGCACAGACAAAAAAGGAGCTAGTGTGGCCTGGAGAACTCACTGAAGAACAGACTGTGATCTCTCTGCTCCGAGGCAGAGGGCTGGAAACAATCTCTTCTGTTCTGGCTCTCAGAAGAGACATGGAAAGCTGCCAGGGAAAGCCACCAGAGAACAAAAGTCCGCCAAAAATGGTTCCCACTTAGCCC